AACCACAGAGGTGGGAACGTGTGCTCATTAGAGAGTCAGGGAAACACGAGGCTGTTGAATAGTTGTCTTCTGCTGCAGCTGCAAACCGAACAGCTGAGCATCAATGACCATGTTTTCTTCTTGAAAGGGCTACTTTGGAAAAGGCATTCTTTCAAGAAGCCGTCCGAACTTCACAATCTCCAATCCCAAGCTGGCTGCCAGATGGAAAGGTAAGCCATGCAGCTTTCCTTTGGCACTTACATGTCCTGGTCCATGAGATGGTAAGTTCTGGAACAGAGGCACACCAACAGTGTTCCTGCCGGGAAGAGCGCCTACAAGAACTCGCATCAAACAGTTTTGTTTTGTTAAGTTTGACCTTTTTTTTTTTAAAGAATGTTTCAGCCAGGGTGATAGTGGTGCATGCGTTTAATCCCAGCAGTCGGGAGGCAGAGCCAGGCGGATCTCTGTGAGTTTGACGCCAGCCTGGTCTACAGAGCGAGTTCCAGTACAGCCCAGAATACACAGCGAAACCCTGTCTCAAAAAAAAAACAAACAAACAAACAAACAAAAAAACAGTCTCACTACTTAGCCCAGGCTGGCCTTGAACTCAGGATCTCCCGTGTGCCAGCAGACCAGGCAAAAAAATCCTCATGGTTCTTGGAAATGTGTTTCAGCTTCCTTGGGATGGTCAGAAGTCTTACTCACATATACAGGGCCCTGGTTTCAATCCTTTGCACCTCAGAAGACAGGGAAAGATTATTCTGGCTCTTTTGTACACCTGGCCTAGCAGGATGCTGTGTGTATGCCTGCCTGTGGCACTGTCAGAATGAGCTTGGTGTTGTATTTGCAGAGGTAAAATATACACTATCTATGGTGGTGTTCAACACACTGTGGGGCTGCTGGTGAGATGGCTGGCCACCAATCCCCCCGTTACGACCTGAGTCAGATCTCCCGGGCCTGTTAGTCAGGGTTCTCTAGAGCAACAGAACTGATAGAATCAGAGAGAGAGAGAGAGAGAGAACGTGTGTGAGTGTGTCGTTTATTCATATGGGATTTATTAGCATGGCTCATAGGCTATGGTCCGGCTAGTCCAACAGTGGCTGTCTGTCTCCTGACAGAAAGTCCAAGAATTCAGTAGTTGTTGTGGCCATGATGCTGGGTGTCCCAGTCTCTAGTACATGTGGGAATCCTGAAGAAGTGGGCTCTAGTGCCACTGAAGGAACGCCTCAGCAGCAGGATAGATGAACAATGAGGATGAAGGCAAGCGGGCAAAAAGCAAAAGCTCCCTTCTTTCCTGTCCTTTTATGTGGGCTGCACCAGAAGATGTGGCCCAGATTTAGGGTAGGTCTTCTCACCATAAATAATCCAATCAAGAAAGGTCCCAGCCAGGTGGTGGCAGTTCACAGCTTTAATCCTAGCACTTGGGAGGCAGAGACAGGTGGATCTCGTGAATTTGAGGCCAACCTGGTCTATAGAGCAAATTCTAGGATAGCCAGGGCTACATAGAGAAAACCTCTCAAAAAAAAAAAGAAAGAAAGAAAGAAAGAAAGGAAGGAAGGAAGGAAGGAAGGAAGGAAGGAAGAAAGAAAGAAAGAAAGAAAGAAAGAAAGAAAGAAAGAAAGAAAGAAAGAAAGAA